TATAATAATAATAATAATAATAATAATTATTATTATTATTATTATTATTATTATTATTATTATTATATTGATAATTATGACAATAATAATATTAATAATAATAATTTATATTAATTACATTGGAGGTGCTATTAGTTCTTGTTATGTGTATTTTCATTCTTTCCCTCGCCAGATTGGTTACCAGGTCAACCAAATGATGTATCTGAACATTGTGCTGTAATCATATGGAGCAGGATCGACAAGAATTGGCAAGATTATCCTTGCAGTCACTACTTCAATTTATATGTTTGTGAAATAGGTAACTTGATCTTAAACCTACATATACAGACACTTATACTTTCAAGGTCCTAGGTTAGAAAATTACCTAAACAATGTTTAACATCGTGAGTGTTAAGAACTACACCACTCCATAAGCCTTCAAGTGAGATGCTAAGAGCAAGGTATTTCAATTAGGAGTCATTGCTAGAGAGCATTATCTACCTTTTGTGAGTGGTGACACACTGTTGGAAGAGAAGGAAAAGTGAATAAACAATATGTAAATCGCAGCTGTGTTTTGAATGAAGCCTAAAATATATATTATGAATGTATCTTAAGAAACAAATAAAATTCGATAACAATGGCCAAGACTTCACAGAATAATGTTTAAACAATCACCACCCCCGCCCAGTTCAAACCTAAATGATGAATGAAAGATGTATAAAATAATAGATTTAATATTGTAATCATTAATTGTAAATTATTGTATATTCTGTAACATTTGACAGTGTACCAGGTACCTGTAGTAAATTCGACTATAAGGGGTAAAATTTGATAAGGAACAGAGAAAATAATTATTGGACAATATTGAACATATCTCTAAATACCTCGTTTGTGTCTATTAATTCAGAACAACATTCGTCTCTTGCAAGAAAAGTGTCTGGTAAAGCAGGACAGGCAGCTTGCTTAGTTCCCTACGTCTTAGCCGATTTCACCCTGGATAGTAAAGCGACAAGAAGTTTAGCTCACTGTTTTCAATTCTGCATCTCGATTGACCAGTGCAAGGCGTTCCAAATTCAGCAAATGCCAAACAAGATAATGTGTAACGCGTTAAGTGACGAAGGGGCACCGACGCAGTATGAACACGAGCCACTTGATTGCAGTCTTTTTTTGATCAAACGATAATTCAGTTTTTACTCACTATTGTTTAAATCATATGCATACATAGGACAAATATATTCATATGTATACATATGAAATGGACGAAATGTTAAAATAATTAAATAATTAATTAAATTAATTAATTTTAATTATTAATTGTTAATTGTTAATAATTGTTAATTTTTAATTTGCCATAGGATGTGTAATTTTATGTAATTATATACACCATGGAGGTATCATGTGTAAACACCTTATATTTTTGTGAAACAAATGCTTGTAGTTTTTGATCAAACGATAATTCAGTTTGCACTCAGTATTATATAAATCATATGCATACATAGGACAAATATATTCATATGAAACAGACAAAATGTTAAAATATTTGTTAATTAAAAATTAATTAATTAATTCATTCATTAATTGTTAAAATAATTGTTAATAGTTAATAATTGTTAATTGTTAATTTGCCATTAGGACGTGTAATTTTATATACACCATGGAGGTATGTGTAAACACCATATTTTGTGAAACAGGTGCTTTTAGGAGGAAGAAGCAGGTACCAGGAGAGTGCACAGCCACCTCAGCCCCATCATGGTTGAAAAAAAAAATAGCAACTCTAAATGGCCGGAAATAGCATTCTCGGGCTTAGAAATATATATTTAAAAGTATCCAAATTTACCAATATGTTCAATCTTAAGTAGATGAAATAAGTTTATGTGGACTTGCGGGGCAGAATAGAGAGAATACCAGGTGTAACAACATCCAGCTATGGTGAGGCTGAAGTAAAAAAAAAATAATAATGTGACAACTCTAAATGGCCAGAAATGGCACTTTCAGATATAAAAAAGGTTTTATAAATAGTGTTAATTTGACAGTAGTGCGTACGTTAAATATTTTTTAGTGAAAAGTAGACGTGAGGGCCAAGTAGGAGCGTCTACATTCTCCTCAACATGGTTGGCCCGAGCTAAGTTGAAAAGGTAAGAATGCGGCAACATCCGGAAATTGCACTCTTAGACTTTTATTATTTCTTAAGTGTCTTAATTTCCCTTTTTAAACTCGTTAAATTGTACGTAGATCAAATAAGTTTTTGTAAAGTTCTACATCAGTTTCAGTTTTCAGTTTCAGTTTATTTTCCAAAAACTTCCATATTTTCATGTACCGTACTGAACAATGGAAGGATGACCAACAAAAGATCAGAGCTCGTAAACCATTGGCCACCTAAACAAAACTATTAACAATTACACGGACGAACATGACGTGATAAATGACAACAGTGACAAAAACATGTTGGCAGGATATGAACTATATAAATGTATGCATGAATGTAAATATATAAAGGATCCTTATTAATACGTTAACAACAAATAATTTTTATACATCATTTTGAACATTTTTGACAGATACTGAATTACGAATAGAAGCATCAATATTATTCCATAAAAATCGGACCATACTTCGGATAGTATTTCCGGCCATATCGGTAACAAAAGTATGTGGACGGTACATATCGGAAGACCTGGTACCATAATCATAAACTAAATTTACTCTAACAAAATAATTTGAAAAATTTAACTGGTAATAAAATATTTTTAAATTTATACATAAAAACACCTTTAGATAACTTATGAATGTCATACACAGTTAAATGATTAAGACTAGCAAATAATGGTGGTGAATGTTCATGGAATTGTGAATTTGTACATAGACGCATTATGCGCTTTTGCTTGCGATAAACAGTTTCAAGACAACAATTATTATGATCAGCGGAAATCAAATTACAACATTGGATATGAGAAAGAACTAAGGTCTTATATAAAGATGATAAAACATTAACATGTAAAATTGGCTTTAGTCTGTATTGAATACCAGAATATTTTGAAACTAAATTTGCCAAATAAGTTGTATGTTGATTCCAAGTTAACATTGATCCCTTATTAAACTAAGATATTTGCAGCTAGTAACATGCAAAATATTATTACGATCAATAACAATATTAAGGTCCTTGTAAGTACGGTTACTCTGTCTATTTCTGAAAATCATATTGTTGGTTTTATTAACATTAAGTGATGGCTTATTTGCCTTAAACCAGCATTATAAACTAGAGAGTTTAAATTATCATCAGAAATTAATAAGTTTGTGTCGTCGGCGAATAAAATAATATTTGAGTGTTTACATATGTAGGCTGTCATTTATGTAAATAATAAAGAATAAAGGGCCTAAAATTGAGTCTTGGGGGACACCATAACAGCTATTTATAAAGGATGACTTATGGTAGTTAAAAGAAACATATTGCATTCTATCTGTAGGATAACTGTTGAACCACTCAAATGCGATACCACGAATACCATAATGATGCAGTTTACAGAGTAGAATCTTGTGATTTATGGTATCAAATGCCTTTGAGAGGTCCAAGAAAATTCCCCAAAAAATTGTTTCCTCTTATTAGGTTCGGAAATAAAGTTATCATATGCCTGTATAAAACAGCCATTTCAGTAGACATATTTGGGCGAAAGCCAAATTGGTTTTTATGCAATAGATTATGTCACGTCGAGAAAGATAGTTATAGAGTCTTTTATGGATAATGCGTTCTAAAATTTTGGAGAAAACGGGAAGGACCGAGACGGGTCTATAATTACCAAAGGTATCAGTCTCCCCACTTTTTTAAACAGGAGTTATCTTGGCAATTTTCAGTTTTTCTGGAACAATTCCAGTAGTTAAGGATAAATTAAAAATGTGAACAAGTGGAGGTGCTATTAGTTCACCAACTGATTTATCAAAATCAGGCTTGATATCATCAAATATTATATCGATCAATATTAGATTATTTCTGATTCGAAACGATATTGTTTTATGAATATTCATAGCAACACCTCCACTTTTACAAAGAGGTTCATTAATGAAATTATACTGGTACTGGTACTTGTAGCCGTCTGATTTCAGAAATTCGGCAGCCACCATTGACATTATGTTGGCGTTAAAAGACTGCATAATATTGTGATGAGTTACCTGTGTACAAACAATTACCAAACACAAAAAATATGGCAAACTAAATGCTATTTACGAAATATTCTATTTAATGCTTATGGGTATAATTATTTATATAAATTTCATTGGAACCATCCTCTTTAAACCATGTTTCTGAGAGTGCTATAATCAAAAAGGTGTGATTTAAACTTGTAATGAACGCAGTAATCTGATCGACATTTTTTATTGAAACTGCGTGAGTTTATATGCAAAATTGTAAAATCATGCTCATCACATGAAACTGAGATCAACATTGTAGGAACACGAATGGGGTATATCATAATCAATTAAATTATTATTAAAATATTTATCACATCATTCATCAGGTTGCTGGACCTCGAACGAGATTCAGTATAAGCTCATATGCCTATAGAAAAAATGTATGTAGGTATCCATTTATTAATTATATCTATATTATGTATATTATGTACATTTATTTATATATATCCGTATATTCCTTTATTAATTATATCTATATTATGTACATTATGTATATATCCATTTATTATTTGATACATTTTGTAATCATTTTAAAAGATTGCATGAAAAGTGTGGTCTGAATTAAAATTCTCAGTTTTTTTGTGTGTTAGACTTGATGTATGAATGGTGTACCAGGGAAGAGTCAAAATTTCACTGTTCTCTGGGTGTTATTAGTATTTTCCACTGTTGTATTAGGCGAGCAAAAAATAAAATTATGAATCTGTAGGTCCTAAGATAGTCGTTGTTTTATTATTCGAGAACAGCATTATTCTGCTGCCAAGGTCAAAGTAGTTTCACATTTTCCATTGAACATACA